GTCAGGAACAGGCACATTCCCTGACCCTTGGGAGAGGGTGACAGGGCTCTGGGAGAGGCTCTTTCCAGCTCTCTTTGGATGCTTGGGGTCCCCGCGCTGATTTTTGTTGTTACAAGTTTTTTTGGTGTGTTTTCTTTTTTTTTTTTTTAGTCTGTTTGGTTTTTTAAAATTAATTTCTGACCCAAATAATTCCAACCGAAGCAGTGTGATCGCTGTTTATTCTTTTCCATACCCCTGGGAATAGAGTTGGTTTGCTTATTTCCTTTTTCAAGCAATGCCACCCTCAATGCCTTGAAATTAAAACTATTTTCTACGCTGTGCCAGACCAGTCAGGAATTCAGAACAACTGCTCTTAGTAGTTCAGATTATTTAAATACATCAATTTCCTCTTAATAATGACCTTTTATTTGAGATACTTTGAAAATTTATCTCTCAGTGGAGTAATGTGATGCTTGGATAATGTTTAATTTGCTGGGAGTCTTACTAAGAGTGGGCACTGCTTTTGAGCTTCTGAATAGCAGGAGTCCTGATGAACATCTGCTTAATTAAATGAACGTGTTCAGAAACATCTGAAAACATCCATGCACACACAAACCACTGTCAGAAGTTTCCAAGTGGCATAATGTGGTGCAAAATATGTAAGTAAAATAAACTCTGAATGTGCATTTTTAATAGTACAGTGGTAAAAATGAAATTATTATCAAATATTTACACTGAAAATTCAGTTTCTGTGTTGTTTAAATTCTCGTTGATATTTGAGGGTCTGGCATCAGTGGTGTTTCCTTTGATATAACCTGTCATGTTTAGGGTGAAAAGGGCCACATTCTGTGAACATATCAGTTATTTTGACATTATTTTCCAGTGAATTCAATGGAAGCATTCTAATTTTAAACTTCTTTTTCTGTATCGAACTGTCAAGAGTAGTCCAGCTGTTACAGGGCAGTAAACAAAATTTCCCTTAATGAACTAAAAGAGGAAATTAATAAACTTCCTCTTTGAATAGCCTCAGTTTAGTGATTACTGAGGAGATGTGTGCTGGTTACTGTAAATGCCAGAAATTGAATTAGAAGGAATTGGAGAGGGCACACATGCTGTATGTTGAAGTATGTCCAGGCAGAAAGATGTAAAATAAGACTGTTGATTTCAGCATGTTGGGAGCTATAAACAATATGGGTAATTCAAGCTTGTGAAAGTGTTTAATCATATTTTGTCATTAATAATTTATCATATTATCATTTTAGGGAGGAATTCTTGGCTGGGAGGGTGGGGGGGCCCTGGCACAGGTTGCCCAGAGAAGCTGTGGCTGCCCCATCCCTGGAAGTGTCCAAGGCCAGGTTGGAGCAACCTGGTCTCGTGGAAGGTGTCCCTGCCCGTGGCAGGGGGTGGGACTGGATGAACTTTAAGGTCCCTCCCAACCCAAACCATTCTGGGATTCTACACTATTTATATACTATTTAATGTTTCATCTCTCTGGCTGTGCATAAACCCAGTTGAAGAGCAAGCCTGTCAGATCAGTTCTTGCAGTTCAGTCCAGTTTCAGTTGTTTATGTTTGATAACTTTGTTTTCTTACATTTGCTCACCTTACCAGTGGTCTATGCCAAGCACATTCAACTTGCAGGCTCAGGAGGTTTTGGAGAGTTATCTTAGGGATACTGAGATCCTTTTGTAGCTCGGTTTTCTGAGACAACTCAGGACATTCAGCAAGTAGCATAAGGGCAAAAGTCATCTTTTTGGGGCAGCAGCAGCAGCCTTCTTTGGGCTCCTGTCTTTGTGAGCACCTTGTTTTTTTCCCCTTTTACACTCCCTATTTTCATCTCTCCATGTGGCTGAAAGAAAATTTTTGAAGAGGAAGACACCAAGGAAAATAATTCCTTGATCCAGAGCTCTTTGTGGCCCTGGGATGACCTCAGGGAAGAGAACTGGATGTGTGAATTGTTCTGGTGGCAGCAGCTTCCCCCTGCCTTCTCCCCAGAGCTGCAGGAAGGGACTTGGATCAGTGTCCATGAGTGTACCACAAATGCAGTGTATGGATCTGCTGTGAGACTTAAACTTCAGATTTGGGAGGTCAAACAACCGGGCACCAGGGCTCTGAAGGATCTTTTTGGGAGCTGGTGTAAAGTGTTGGTCAGAGGTGAGGTTTTGAGGACTAGGGAGCAGGCACGGGAACTGTGGGGTGGTTAAACTGTAAGTCAGACTGAACCTCTCTGACAGGTTGGGCTTTGACATCACCAACTGCAAACTCTTCACAGTGTTTGTCTCTGGCTGCCAGGGCTGACAGCCCTGGGCAGGTCCTGCATCAGCAGATGTCACCAAATTGCAGAATCCTCCTGAATGATAGGGGTGTCGTCACGTGTGGTGACGGGTAGATAGAGAGCTGTGCTATTTTTATCACTTGAACCCATTTTGTCTGCTCTGCTTCATCACAGAGGTGCAGTCATTTGGGTAAATCAGCCAGAGAGGCTGGATCCTTGGAAAATTCTGCAAATAGGGAATCGAGGGCTGAAGGGCTTTCCAGCAGCACTTGGGGGAATATTTTCCTGTTGGAGAAACTTCACAGCATGGAAACCCATCACCCTGGATTCCTGCCACCTCTGTCAGGTAACTCAGCTCCATGTCATGGCTGACAGTCCCAAATGAGGGTGACAGGGATGTCTGGTGATGGGATGAGATCATTCAGTGCTGCTGCTGGAGTGGTTTGCTCTGTCTCTTGGTACAAATCCAGTCTCTGCACACTCTGGGTTACTCGTCAAATCAGTTAGAGGAGCTTGTAGTTGGTGTTTGACCCTCTTCTCTGAGCTCTCTGATAAACAAGAGGTACAAAGTTTGGTGATAGTTGGCTAAAACATGCTGGGTTGGATTCAGACTGGGACAGACTATTTCCTACTTCCACCTTTTCTCTGAATGATGTGTTTCCTGCTTGGACAGGAGCACAGTGCTTAGCTGTGCTGGATGTTTACATGTCAGCAGAAAGAATAGTCAGATTTATGAGTTATGGTCCAGGCATTCTTCTGAAATCCTGTCCACCTTCAGGAAGAGCTGGAGCTTCCAGAGGTTTGCTGATATTAGAGAATGCAGCAGCTTATTTTGTGGATGGGTAGAGGTGAAGCACATTTAAGATCCTTAGGAAACTGTTCTGAAAATGCAGGATTTTTCTATCCAAATAGAGCTGTTAATCCTCGAAGAGTCAGTGTTTGCTTGTGCTCAGTTGGAGGGTTTAGTTATTTCAGATAGCTCCTTACACTTAATATTCGTCATGCTTATTGTAAATTCACAGCAAGGTTCTCTTGGTGTCCAATAAAATTTTATTGGGCTTTTCTTTCATCATATTTCGGCCTTCCTTCCACTCAGAGTGGGCAGAACATCTGGAAAATCATAGGGATGACAAGGAAGCAGGTGGCATTTGGGAGGTGACATCCTAGGGATGGGAGTTAGTGGGAAATACTCCTTTGTCAGGTGTCTGACTGGTGGCCTGGAGGTGCAGAGTGGTTGTCTCAGGCAGGCTTTGGGGTGTTGTGACATCTCAGCATTTTGCTTATTAAACTGTTTGTGGGGTTGTGGTTTTGTTGATTGTTCTTTAAGGCCTTTAACTTGGTTTTGCCTGGGCTGGTTTTGCTGTTGGCCTCGAGGCTGGAGAACAGTGGGGAGGGAGAACCTGCATGTGAACTCCTGGGGCTGTTGGAGGAGGCGAGTGAGAAGATGGGTTTGGGGGATTCTGCCTCTTTTGGCATTTCAATTCCCATCTGCTTGGAATGTCAACAAGAATGTCAGCAATCTACTTGTTCAGCCCCCTGGAAAGGCAGGGCCTCCCTTGGGTCTGCTGCTCTGGTGTGATGTGGTTTGAAATCCCCCAACAGCGTGTTCAGGGAATTGTGGCCTTGTCAGTTCACTCTTCTTTCTGTTTATTTTTTGTTTTACTCCGTTTCAGTTTAAGATCCTAGTCCTGAAAATGCATAATCACAGGCACAGGGCTGTGTGTGTGTGTAATTGCCTGCTGAAAACATTCCATAAGGATATTTACAGTGCAGGGGGGACTCAGGTCAGCATTGGGTTCAAAACTGGACCTTTGTTATCAGCAGTTCTCATACTGAGATCTGAAATACTTTGGCAAATAGTTCAGAGCTGTTCTACAAAAACCTTATTTCCATGTAGTTGTTGATTAAAAGTGTGAGTAGAAGTTGGAATGCTGGTCAAGGAGAAGTTCTAGGGGGTGACAGGAGCCTGTTGGCTGCAGGTTTTGTGGGATCACCATTATCCACACTTAAATTTCAGGTATCTGGTTTGGATGACAGCAAACTAACACCCTATTTTAGATTTTTTTGTTGAAGGAATACACAGAGTGCAATACTTTTTCTCCTCTCAACTGTGATTGCTGTTCATTCTGGTTTCTTCCTTATGTTTCAGTTTTCTACTGGGAACCCAATATACGAAACTTACTACAAACAGGTACGTTCTTAAAAGAGGAAACTGCACTTTATTTTTGCTTTTCTTCTTCCCCAAGATTTTCCTCTCTTTCCTTTCCCCATTGCAGGGCTAAAATCTTCCTGCTGATGCAGTTTGTGTAACTCCTCCTGACCTAGAGACACTGCATTTCTCATCTCTGCTTTCACAGGTCATGCTTCAGTTAAATGTTAATTTTTTTCTTTCAGGTAGATCCAACATACACAGGGAGAGTTGGGGCAAGTGAAGCTGCTCTGTTTCTTAAAAAATCTGGTCTCTCTGATATCATCCTTGGAAAAGTAAGTTGAAGGAATTGGATAATGCAATAATTGTCTGTACACCTTTTTAAGTGAAAGGACAAATATACAAGGAAAAATAATCTTTTGTGTAACATTTCTGTTGTTAACTTGACAGTGAAATAACATTGTGTCATAACTTGAAAGCTGAATGAACTTTTCAAGAAGACACACAGTATGAACTGTGGAGCTGGGTTTTATTTTAAATTCACAATGGCTTTTATTTTGTATCTCCACAGATATGGGATTTGGCTGACCCAGAGGGGAAAGGATACTTAGATAAACAGGTAAATGAAATGTTCCTGTAGACCTGCTATGTTACCTTTCACAGATTAGCCTTGTTTCAAGCAGACCCTGATACCAATAATAGTTATCCTTGGCTTTTTTTGAATTAAGTTTTTGTTGACAAGATGAGTTTTTTCCCCAGCACTTCTCATATCTAAGTGTATTACTGAGTGAGGCTGCTGGAGAAGTTTGGATCTCATTTTCTGTCTCTCTTTTGTTTTGTAAAGAATCAGTGTCTGTGATATGTAGATACACAGTTACCGAGTCACAAACACAAAATATGATTTTAAGATTTATTTTAGAAGAACATTCTTGCATGTAAAAATCTAACCAGCATTACTAAAAATGGCTTGGAATATCAAATAGCAAGTTACTTGTAGATATTGATAAATTGTTTTTAAACATTATTAATTTTTAAGAACGTTGAAGTTCAGTTATGGGAGAGCCCTTTGTAAAACTGAACTTCCAATTTTCTGCCCGTTATTGTAAAATTTCTCACAACTCACCTTTAAAAGCAGTGGGGTAATTGTCACTGTGGGGCTGCACATCCCCAGTTTACTGAGTGCTGATAAAAATCACAGCTGGGTTGTTTTCCCTGCTCTGGCCTGGTTTGAAATGGCTCTTTGCAGGGTTTCTACGTCGCTCTGCGCCTCGTGGCCTGCGCCCAGAACGGCCACGACGTCAACATGAGCAGCCTCAGCTTGACTGTGCCACCTCCTAAATTCGTGAGTAATACCCACCCAAACGTGTGGATGTGTTATATGGGAACTAAGGCTTCAGCTGGAACACTGGAATAATCTGCTGTGGTGGTTCTGGGGCTGCAGGCTGATGGCAGAGTGTTCCTTAAGGACACTGCCACAGCCCTGTTGTCCTCAGTGGGTTTTGCAAGTTTAACTCTGCTCATCAGGAAGCTGATGTGGCTAAACTCTAAAAAAAGGGAAGAAAATCAAGTTATTTTGGGGCTGGGTCAGTAGGATGGGCAGTAAAAGGCACAGCTGCAGCTTTGCCTGCAGTAGCTGCTGCAGAACCTCTTTATTGTGTGTTTGGGTATCTAATGCACCAATAAATGTCCTCATCCAAGTGCTGTAATAGTACAAATGAGTGTGACTTTTATTTAGGTACAGCCTCTTTCTCAGTGTAGTTAAGCTTCATGTCTATAACCACTTCTTAAAACAATTAGTAAGGATTAGAGACAGAAATCTGTGTATTTATATATATAAATATACATGTAAATAAAATTCTCCATTTTTTTAGCATGACAGTAGCAGTCCTTTGCTGATCACACCCCCTTCAACAGAGACTCACTGGGCTGTCAGGGTAAGTGTAAAAGCCAACACATTACATCCATTCTTTAAAAGTGAATCTTTTCCTCGTGTGTGATTTTCTCTCAGTGAGAGAATTTTGTATCCAGTGTATTTCCTGTTTCAAAAATCCCCCCTTTCTGTGCAGGCTTGTGCACAATAGAGAATATTGAGGTGTAGTTTTACATGTGTAATAAGTATTAAACCACCCTTTGACAACCCCAGCTGTGATGTTTTTAAGACACAATGAATTTTAATCTTCTGCCTGGATTTCTTCCAGAATCCTACAATTAGGCACTTTCATTGTTTGTATAAAGGAACCCCACTGAGAACAGCAAAGTATTTCACCAAATCCATCCTGAATTATTAATTTAAAGCTCGAGTTCCTATATTCTAGTTGGTATTCAGTGATACTTTCTTTCCCCCAATGATATATATTACATGTAACCTTTGATGCATATATGTGAGTATTTGTGTTTAGTTAATCTTCAAATGCAAACATTTCCCAAAGGTAGAAATTTAATAAAATAACTTGTAATGCTGATTATTTTTTTGGTACTTATGTGTTGTACTTCAACGTGGGAAGAAGAGGTTTTAGTTCTCCAGAGTTTATCAAAGTTTCTTTAAAACAGAAACACATCTGCATGGTAAAATCTCTCATGGAAGGTTATAAAATAACCTTAGCTTTGAAATTAGGCTCTTAAATGTCTCTCCAGGGGTTTACATTTAAATTCAGCACCGTGGCACTTGCAAGAAAGTTTGGAAATTTAGGATGAACACATCACTGACCAGCCTTAATTTCTTGCAAGATCTCATTTTCAACACTCACACAGGCACACTTTTTTACTTATTCAGACTATTTCTTACCAACTAGGTGGAAGAAAAAGCAAAGTTTGATGGTATTTTTGAAAGCCTTTTGCCAGTAAATGGTTTACTTTCAGGAGACAAAGTAAAACCAGTACTGATGAATTCAAAGCTACCTCTCGATATCCTCGGAAGGGTAAGTGTGCTGTTTAAATTTTCCTGGTCTCTGTTTAACTTCTCATAGTTTGCAGTGTGAAATATTTATATGGAATTTATCAAAACAGATCAGGTTTTGGCTGAGATTCTGCATTGATTGCATGCTATCAAGCAAGAACATTAAGTCTCTGCAGTCTTCCTCTTAGAAATAAGAATAGTAGTAGTAATTTCAGCCCTGGAGTAGATTGGCTTAATTATCCCTCTGTTCATTTTAAGAGCTGGAAATTTTGATTTTGGTTGTTTAAAAGCAAGAAAAAGCTTTTCTAAACTTTTATAATATTAGCTTTTATAACATTATATTCCAGTGTTTTGTCATTTTTACAAATAGGGGTTATTAGACATCCCATTAAATCCATCCACTGCTGGGTACAGGAGAACACCTCAGAACATCCTCATTTATTGTACCCAGCAAATTGTCAAGTTGTTTTTTCTCCAAGATCTGAATTTAGTGCATCCATTGCATATTTGCCAGGGAAGCAAACCTGAAAGTATTTTTCTGCTCCCATTTAAAACACATTCTTTAATGCTTTGCATATTTATATGCCTGAGAATTGAATTCATTCTATGCAAGAGCTGTATCTGTGTTACATCCTTCTATCTCTTCAGGAAGAACTGCCTCTTTCTCTGTATTATCTACAAAATCTAAGTATGACTCGGTTTAATTCTGTACTGGAATATTGTGAAGTACTGAGTCTTGAAAGGCTTTGGATTTCATCTTGTTATTGTCACAGTAGAAATTCAGGAAGCTTTTGCCTCTTCTAGAAAAGTTTGTGGACGAGGAAATGGGCAAAGGACTAATCAAGGAGCTTAAATTTGTGCAGTGATAAAGTGGAGTTCAGACAATTGAGCCTTAGGCTTGGCTTTCTGTGCCCTCTGCTGTCCCAGGTTGTATTGATGGTTTAACTAGTTGGTAGCTGAGTGTTGGAGTCCACAAAGTTTTGTATCCCTCTAAATCTTGTACAAGTTTCATTGAGTTTACCTGACCTAATAATGAACTGAAGTTGAGAAATGCTTAAATTCTCTCCCATAGGGGGCCAGAGGGAGCTGCACATGGTTTTAGTTATCAGTAAAAAAACTAGGAATGGGATAGGAATTAGAAATGTATTGAGTTTTCTAAAATATTTTAACTTTCTTACAAGACATTTGGATGATCTGCTAACCCCACATCCTCTGGACAGTTCTGGAAACCACCTCTGAATGCTTTTACTCAGCTTGATGACTCCTTAATTGCACCACAGAAAGATGAAAAACCTGCCTGTGTTGCAGCCAGAATTTGTTGGAGCCAGCGTTGATTCACACTGGCCAGAAAACTCTAATCCAGTCTGTTTCATCAGAGTGTTTAGATAGTTTAATGTAATTAATATGATCTTCCCCAAAACCTATTAAGAGTCTTTAGAGGGCATGTTAATTTGATGAATGCACAAAATGTGACTTGCTCTCTAAATCATTGCTTTATCTTAATTGCTGCAGGTCTGGGATCTCAGTGATATTGATAAAGATGGTCACCTGGACAAGGATGAATTTGCTGTGGTAGGTTGTTTTAAATTCTCAATTCACAGCCCAGTCTGTCTGGCAGAGCAAACAGCTCATTTTTTTTTTCTCAAGAGCTTTGCAGCTTTCTCTGCTACAGTTCACTGTTCTGATCTGCCTTGTTCACACAGAGCTATTAAATGATCTTCCTCAAATCCATCCACTGACTCTTGCCTATGTCATCAAGATTAAACTTGTTGGAATTGCCTCCAAAACTATCTGCTCTGCTTTACATCTCTAATCTTACAGCCTTTGTTTTACTGTTATGTAAATGACTGACACTGGAAGATCTCATTGCCTTTTTTCCCTGCTAATTGTGAATGTTATCTGACCTTTTTGCCTTTGCAGGCAATGCATTTGGTTTATAGAGCTCTTGAGAAAGAGTCAGTCCCTTCACAATTGCCCCCTTCTCTCATACCACCTTCTAAAAGAAAGAAGATGCCCGTGTTCCCTGGAGCAGTTCCTGTTCTCCCTGCAAGCCCCCCGCCCAAGGACAGCCTCCGTTCCACCCCCTCCCACGGCAGTGTCAACAGCCTGAACAGCACGGGGAGCCTGTCCCCCAAGCACAGCATCAAACAAGCACAGGTACTCACCTGCCTTCCTTTCTTTGGGCCAGGAACCTGCAGGAGAAAACAAACCTGCTCTTTGATTTCTGCCTCGTGCGAGCTCTTGGGTTTGGGGGATCTGGGGGGTGGGGGTGAAATGTAATAGCAAATTTAAAGAATTTAATGCCAATAAATAATATGAAAGGAATTTAGTACCAAAGAAATCACTGGTCAGGCTTGGAAGAATGGAACACCAAAGAAATTTAATTCCCAATTTAAGGAATTTAATAAAAAGAAATCATTGGTCAG